CTAGCCCTGCCTGGAAGTTTCCTGTTCCTGTGGCATGAACTTTGAGGCTATTTCTGAGTGTTTTTCTAGGCTTTGATATCTGTGGTTTAATCCCATTATCATATCCTGCTTCCCAGGTGTTGGGGCTAATGACTCTCCTGCTTCCCAGGTGATGGGGCTAATGACTCTTAAGAGCTTGGGTGGGGTATGCAGATTTTCTTTTTGTCTTCTTGATGGCTCTGGCTTCAACTTTCTGATGGTTCCACATCTGCATTTGTATAAGACTAGCTACTGCCCTGGGCAGAGATGAGGCCAGGTTTGGTTTCTGCTTTTCAAAAAATGCTTTTAAAAATCCTTTTGGTGAACAATATTTTTCCTACCTTTTTAATATTTCCTTCTCTGGGTTAACTTGCCACACTAGCCATTTATTCAATGGCTAGAGAGTCAGAATAATAGCTTTTGGGCAAGTTATCATATAATAGTTGATTATAAATCTAAAACCTGTAAAACAGCAATTAAACTAAAAACTTTTATCTAATTATCTAACTGCTATTTAAGACTAAAAAATTGAAGCTATGTAAATGCAGGCTGTATACAAAAAAACCCCTTGAGCTGAACAACATAAATGTCTTTGAGTTCTTGATAATTAGTTATGTAATTGCATTCATAGGAAGTCCACAGTAGCAGTTAATGAGGTGATCCAGACCCTGGCAGTTTTAAATCAATGTGAATTCTGCAATGCATGTTAAAGAGGAGTAGGACATCATCTGGTTGTACCCATCATTTTGACATCAGTGAGTGTCATTATTTGGAATTGCATACCATACAAAAGAGAAGAAAGTCAAAGAACATGAGCCAGACCCAGAAGAAGAGAGACAACGTCAAAGACATACTATAATAACATCAAATAGCAATGGTTAAGGCTGCCAGAAGAGCAAGAACCAGAACTTTGCATTTTAATGAGTGAAATAAGTGTTTGATCCCCTATCAATCAGCAAGATTTCTGGCTCCCAGGTGTCTTTTATACAGGTAACGAGCTGAGATTAGGAGCACCCTCTTAAAGGGAGTGCTCCTAATCTCAGCTCGTTACCAGTATAAAAGACACCTGTCCACAGAAGCAATCAATCAATCAATGAGATTCCAAACTCTCCACCATGGCCAAGACCAGAGAGCTGTCCAAGAATGTCAAGGGCAAGACTGTAGACCTACACAAGGCTGGAATGGGCTACAAGACTATCACCAAACAGCTTGGTGAGAAGGTGACAACAGTGCGATTATTCTCAAATGGAAGAAACACAAAATAACTGTCAATCTCCCTCGGTCTGGGGTTCCATGCAAGATCTCACCTTGTGGAGTTTCCATGATCATGAAAACGGTGAGGAATCAGCCCAGAACTACGTCTGACCTCTGTGATTGCCAACAAGGGTTTTGCCACCAAGTACTAAGTCATGTTTTGCGAAGGGGTCAAATACTTATTTCACTCATTAAAATGCAAACCAATTTATAACTTTTTTGAAATGGGTTTTTCTGGATTTTTTTTTGTTATTCTGTCTCTCACTGTTAAAATAAACCTACTGTCACAATTATAGACTTACCATTTCTTTGTCAGTGGGCAAATGTACAAAATCAGCAGGGGATCAAATACTTCTTTCCCTCACCGTGGCTATGCCTGGATTTTGACCATCTTTATTTCTGTATTTTTCCATCTTTATCCTAGTTATAGTGAAAGTAGCATTTAGTTAGATTTAGTGAAAGAAGCCCTTGGTATACAAAATATGTAATTCTGGTTGTTTTGGGATATGAGATTGGCAGCATATAAATTTAATAAATAAATATACATTTTAAAATAATAAAGCAACAGAGATGGGTTTAGAATGAGTGCTTGTTTGTTGTACTGCATTCTTTAATTGTTTTGTGACTCCTTCTCCACTCTTATCTCAGTTTTCTTGCCTCTCTGCCATGTCTGAATGTGTGGTTTATTTGTTTATTGATAATGTGTTGCCATATACTTTCCTGATATTAGAAGGAGATGGTCGGCACCTTTTTAAATTAATATAATTTATTAAAATACATAAGCTTTTGTGAGCTGCATCTTACTTATTCATCAGATGCCCTTGACGTGATGACCCGGTGCCTGGAGGCCGTGAGGGTCTGGATGGGGAGAAACAGACTCAGGCTCAACCCTTCCAAGACCGAGTGGCTGTGGCTACTGGCGCCTCGGCATAGTCAGCTGACTCCATCGCTGACTATAGGGGGCGAAACTTTGGCCCCCTCGGATAGGGTACGCAATCTGGGTGTCCTCCTGGATTCACGGCTGACACTG